GGATGCTCGTTGAACGACCGATATACCTGGCTCCACAGCAACAGGCTAACTGATATATACACATAGAAGTGGAGATTCTCCTTCTAAGGACGTCAATGAGTAGGTCTTCTTTGAAGTCGAGGTTCACATAAAGTATCTTTTTTGGCACAGATACTGTTTCTTGCTTTTGGATTTTTTGTTTGATGTTTTTGTCCATGAATCTTGATGGGTAACCGTTTTGTATGAGGGTTTCTTTCAGGAAGTTTAGTTTTTCTTCCATGGTATCAGAGCTGCAGATGCGTCGGACGCGAGTAGCAAGAGATCTAATTAATTTTCTTTTCCGACTGATTGGTACCCAGCTGTAGAAGCTTGTCAGTTAACCGTTCCATATGGGTTTCCTATGGATGGGCCTTCTTAAAGTTCTGTCAGCTCTCCTTGTAAGTTCAACATCAAGAAAAGGGATTTTAGATTCGTTTTCAATTTCAAGAGTGAACTTTGTGGCTGGATGGCATTTTTGAATATTTGCAGTTATTGCAAATCTCGCACTTAGCGACATATGCAAAAGGGACTAAATACAGAAGTATTCTGGATATAAATAAATTATTGTTTACAATAGAATGCGATTGAATTTTCACTAATTTGTAAATTTTGTTTTTGTTAGAAAGGTTTAACTTTCAATTATTTGAAAAAATAGACATGAAAATTATTCGATTGACTATCTCTCGGATCAAATTCTTGTGAATTAATTACATGTAAAGTAATGATCACATGGTGATGGTCACTGATGCTTATATTTCAAATTTACTGATGAGGAATTCAAATTCATATGTACGCTAAATTAATTTATCGTAATGTCCGATATCCAATGTTCAATCAAGGTCAGGTTACTTTCTAGCCAATTCGAGTAGAGGAAGTTTTCAAGTGTTCAAGTGATTTGACTTGTTTTCAGGAATGTTGATCAGATATTTTTTTTATATACAATATGTATATTTAAAAACCTATGATCAAACTATTGAATTTTAGACAACGTATATGGTGAGTGAATATCTAGTCCATAAATGAATTACATTAATATTCTTCAAATAATTTTTTCAAAAGAATAGACACGGAACAAAGAGTACTCTTTTCGATAAATTCATCATGAGGTTCTACAATTATGTATACATTATAATGAATGAATGAATTAGTCTTATGAACGACATTAATGTTTGAATAACATCAAATCAATAATATCGATAAATTACAGCTGAACAGCATCAACATAAAATAAACTGAATGTCAGAAGAATTAGGAAAGGTAATAGTACAAATTCATGAATTTATAGTCTCTACTGAGGGCCAGGGCAGTAGTAGGGGCTGGACTTGTTTCTTTTGAACACAGAACACTGGTTGTTTGAGGCGAATTGCAATGGCCTCTGCTGTTTGGAGCATGCGGTGCTTCGACGATTTTGGTAGTTTGTTAGGCACCCGGTATATTATAGAGAAGGATTCTTCTACACTGGCTTTGTGACCAGTTTGCACCAGATGGTCTAATATTGAGCTGTTAATAGTTTTAACTACACCTTTACTTAGCCATAGTGGGATATGTTCTCGAGCACGAAAAATCAAGTTCGTAGAGCAACGGCCAACATAACTCGCTCCACAAGCGCAGTTGACTTGATAAATACAATTTGAAGTGGCTAGTCTAGGTACTTCATCTTTCACTTGAAGTAGCACCATCGGTCGTGTAGAGAATAATACGTGTAGTTCGCCAGCATTAAAAGTTCTTTGAACTGATTTTCTTAATTTCCTTGTAATTATCTCACTTGGTAAATCGCCCATAAATTGTAGTCGTATATGAAGGGGCTTCTTGTTAACAGATAGTGAGTAGTCCTTTTCGGCTTTCTTTGTCATATGTTTCTTGATAAATTTGTCAGGATAACCATTTTTGATTGAAGTATCATATACCATGCTTAATTCATCTTTAATTACTTCTTCAGGTCATTTAGCTCTAACTCTGTGGCTAAGGGTCTTCACTAAATTTCTTTTGTAATTTACGGGGACGAAGCTGTGAAAGTGTGTATATTGTCCCGTCCAAGTACTTTTTCTATGTAAATTTCTATTTATGCTACCGTCTGGTTTTGTTGTAAGTAGGACATCCAGGAAGGCAATTCTGTCTTGGGATTCCTCTTCGCATGTGAATTTCATAACCGAATGTACTTCATTGAATTCAGTAATTATTTTACTCCTAACGGAACCGTTATCACAAAGAATAAAGGTATCGTCCATATATGGGCAATAAAACGAGAGCTTACTGATAAGGTTGTTCAGAGGTCCATTTTCTAGCTTACTAAGAAGGAAATCAGCCAGAATGGGACCCAATGGGGAGCCCATTGCCACCCCATCCACTTGCCTGTAAAGCGTGCCGTCAAATTTGAAGTTTACATTCATGGTACGTCTTAATATCAATTCTTTTAGGATTTCAATATGGATTCCAATGTTTATCGACTGCTTGTCCACTTGTTCACATATATAATTAACTGTTTCTTTAAGAGGTACATTTGTGAATAACGATGTTATGTCCAGAGATATCATGGTTTTGTCCCTGATATTAATATCTTTTATTTTGTCTACGAATTCAAATACATCTTTGACGCTATATTTCACTATCTTCTCATGCAATGGTTTGAGAACATTTACTAACCATCTAGCTAGAGCGTGGTAGGGCGAATTTCGCACATCAGTTATTGGTCCTAACGGTACCCCTGGTTTATGCACTTTAGATAGGCCATACAGTCTTGGCGTATACGTGCCCGTTGGTCTGATTTCTTCATATAAACTTTCAGAAATTATCTGCTCCTCCCTTAGTTTCTTCAAACGTCTGGTTAATTCATTCTCTGTTTTGTTATTGAATTCTTTCTTCTCCTCAAGTTTTTGAAACTGATTTGTGTCCTTCAATATATCCTTCATCTTTTTAATACAGTCATTTCTATCAAGAAGGACTACTCCTGACCCTTTATCTGGCCTTGTGATAATCAGTTTCTCATCATTTATCAGTCTTTTTGGTTCTTCTCTGTGCCCCTTTGTCAGCCAGTAGTGATGCTGAACGTGTAGAAGCAATAAGTGGAACTTCTACAAACTCACTTGACGCCAGTTTAACATAACACCTCTATAGACATTCATCACTGTTAAAGACTAAAGAACTTTGTATTGAGACTTGAATATTGACCATTGGGAAGATACACACATACACTGATCTGTTCATGATACAGTAAATTGTCTATAAGAAAAGCGACACTGATTATGCAGACGGAACCAAATAAAACCTTTTGCATCGTTTGAATTTTGTACAGCTTTTATTTCCTTTGCTTGTTCATTTATTCATGAACTGAGTTGTACACCTGTAAACAGCTGTCATTCCGATTTGCTGCTTCTCTGTTTATAGGTCAGTGGATGCATTTTCATAATATATGTCATTTGCAGTTATTATATTACCCTTCTGTGTTCCTAAAACTCTTCTTGGCTAACAAACAAATTACTTAATTATAAATTTTAGCTATCGACTGGAAGGAAAACGGTAAGTTGGTGTACGCATGTGGATTTGTATTATCAAGTGGTGGTATAATCGGTTGAAGACAGAAGACGTGTCACCAAGGAGTCACTGAGTTATGCATGAATTATGAACTATGAACATGTTTATTCAAATGCATTGAAACAGTCTAGAAATACAGAAACAAGCTGTTTGTACACGTATCTCGAATGGTATTCAATAGTGAAAGTATCAGAAAAATATTAAATATAAAAACTATAAAAGTAAAATGAGATGTTACAGGATTTTTATCATGGGCTGACATTAGTTAGAGAACCACTGGAAAACCTGGGAGTACTGGACAGCTGCTTGGCCCTAGTTTGGGACTCTTCAGCAGTACGCACCCACCGGGATTCGAACCCAAGGCCTTCTGGTTACAAGGCGAGCTCGTATACCATTAAGCCACTGGGACCCAATCCAATGGCCCATGAATTCTAACTTCTGCTGCTGAAGAGTTCCGAACTAGGACCAAACAGCTGTCCAGTACTCCTAGGTTTTCCAATGGTTCTCTAACTAATGTCAGCTCATGATGAAAATCCTGTAACCAATCAAATCCCTACAAACCAACACTTGAATAAAATGAGATATCACGAAAACTAAATTTCAAATATTATAAATTTTCTTTGCTACGCTTTACAAGTTACATAAATCTGTTTGAAAAAAATTCAGGTAGAGAATTCATGAGGATGGTGCTTTTTTCGTGTAATCTGTTCAGAAAAGACTGAATGGCGTGTACAGCTAGAATATAAAATCGTGAAAGGTAACTTTTACTGGGACTACAAAAACAGTCAAAATTTCTCCTGAGTTGTTTATCAGAGCTGTTAGGGAGCAACAGAGGAGTCGAGACAGCATAAGTTGATTTCAGACTAACATTGTTCTGTTGATAATTCACCAGTGTATACCTGATATGACCTGTCGTCAGTTTTGACATGAACGAATTTCGTTACTTGTCGATTCGCAAGCCTATTGTTTTAACCATTATTAGCAAGAACAACGACAGCAACAACACGACACGATACCACCGAAAACGCGATGCAAGAAGACAAGGAGAGACGTCTGATTGTTGATATGGACAGCTTTTATTGTCCCTTATCAAATAGGAAACTGACTGACATCGCACGCTTATATATATAGATGCTCGAAATGACCCTGAGAGACACTAACGACATTGGTTAATTAAAACAGTCAACAACCAATAGGATTTCAAAGGTCATAAATGGCGGGGTGAGAGAAATACAAACAGACATGTAAAAATGACATGTAGGAAATTAGGTCTTTCTATCAATACCACACACGCAAAATGAACTAAAATGATTGTTCATTTCATTTATTATCTGTTTTCAGAAAAATTCTGTAAGAATAATCATTTTCCATTGTTGTTTGTCAGCCTTATTTGATCCCCAACCCTCCTCAATACCGATAAATGTCAATTTTAATCCCATTTGTAAATACAGGTGCAAAAATATGCATAGGAGCACGTAAGTTCAAATTATGAATTCAGAAAACAAAACCTTTGTTAACAGTTTGAAGTAACTTAAATTAAGCTTCATTTTATCGTCTGACAGTAAGTACTTGCCTCTAACATCTAAAGAAATGCTGAAAAGTCAAACCAAGTGATAAATGCATAGAGGGAGTTAGACAGTTTATGGTGGCGATGAGAACTATTCTTTCAGAACCACATAATTCCAATGCTTATGCCTAATAGAAACCGGGGATGGAGAAACACAGTACTACACTGAGCGTGGAAATAAAATAGAGATATTAGGATATCAATTCTTATCGTAGAGCCATATCATTCAAGGATTTTTATTTTTTTTGTAACAAAGAGGTATTTCAGGTTATTGAATGGTTCTGTGTTAATTCAACAAACGTTTCTCTCAAAAGGCTGATAACTGGTTATTCACCTTTATTGCAGACGAGTGTGCTTCAAAATTCTGTAAGTATATATTTTGTTTGAAGCAGTTAAACTATGTGCTATGACAACAGCCAACTAATAGACTAATACTTGTTCACGTATGTTGCATATATAATTAGCCAATTTGATTGGATGCATTAAGCGCTATGAGCAGACGTCAGTCATTAAATGGTTTCACTATATCTGACCTAATAATATGGATGAAGAAGGAGGTATAATTGAATTCTACATTCAACTGAAAAATGGCGCAAACTGAGTGGACAGATTTCCCACAATACTCACATTTAACTGTTCAGTTTGCACAGATTTACTATTTTTGAGTAAGAGAGAATATATTTCAACGCTTTAGATATGAAAAGTAGAACGGACTGAATATATCGTTTCAGTAGCGATGTTATTCCCTATTTCTGTGAACTAATCGACTGCTGACTTGTTAATTTACAGAAAATCAAAACAAATGATTCAGCGAAGAGACTCTTTTCAACGAATTTATCATCAAGCTGTACAATCGTATAAATATGATTTTTAAGAAGTTATATCCGGCAAGGGAATTGAAACATAGGTGTGATTGCATAAAATAATAATAATAAAATGGAATGCAATTAAAACTAAAATGTTTGTGATTATAATCGTAGTTAAATGTCAAGTGGCAAAGCAAATTAATGTCGTATATAGAATAAATCATAGGATGGATAGAACTTGAAAGAGGGTGTGTAATTATAAGATTAGTAGACAAATCGAATAAAATAAAAACGTTACGTATTATTTTGTGAAATTTAATAGCATAGAATTTAATGTTGCATAAAGGAATTGATTTAGAATGACAAGAGGAGCAAGTGAAATAATACCGGGGACAGTTCAAAGTGAGAATAGTGATAGTAACAATTGACTTAATAAGGAAGAGTATACAAATTGAATAGACAAAAATGAAAAATTCGTAGAGCCAAAACATGATTGGGGATTAACATACTTTAGCGTAGAGGGGTTAAAACCATAAAAGTTGGAGGGGTTGAACGAACTTTTTCTGTACACAGAGATCTGGCTTTTCTGTTTCGATGGCCAAAGCTTCAGCAATACGGATGAGTCGGGTACGTAGGGATTTGGGTACATTACTCTTTCCCTTTGACTTTGAAGGTGGAGGCTATAGAGATAGGGTGATCATTATCGACCAGATGTTCAATGATCGCGCTTCTTATTGCTTCACTTCCACCTTTTCGTAACCATGCAGGATAGTGTTCTTGCACCCTCTTGGACAAAACTGCTGTCGAACGACCGATATACCCAGCTCCACACGAGCAGGTGAATTGATAAACACACACAGAGTTGGTCAACAGCGGGATCTTTTTCTTCAGGTTATTGAACAATAATGGTAGACTAGTAAAGGCTATTCTCAAAGATGCAGCAGGGAATGTTTTTTTCATGATTTCGGAAGCTAAGTCACCTTTGAATTCCAAGCTCATGTAAAGTATTTTCTTGGGTATGGATGATGAGTCACGTTTTTTAGGATTTGAATGTATATTCTTATCTATAAAACGTGGTGGAAATCCATTTTCTATTAGGATTTTCTTCAAGACGTATAACTCATCTTCCACAGTATCAGGGCTACATATGCGCCGAATACGAGTGGCAAGCGACCGGACCAGGTTTCGTTTTCGACCAATGGGTACCCAGCTGTAGAAATTTGTCTGTTGACCATTCCATGACAGCTTACGATAAATCGATCTCTTCAGAGTTCCATCGGTCCTTTTTGATAAGTTCACATCGAGGAAATGAATGCTAGACTCGTTCTCCATTTCAAGTGTGAATTTTATCGCCGGACGGCAACCATTAAATACATCTAATATATTATTCAAGTTACAATCACTATTACAAATAATAAAGGTGTCATCTGCATACCTTTTATACGTTTGAAAGCTTTGGATTATAGACTTCAGCTGATCATTTTGTAGACTGGACGTAAAACAGTCTGCAAGGAGAGGACCCAAGGGAGAACCCATTGCAGTACCATTCTTCTGTCTGTAGATTGCTTCATTGAAAGTAAACTGTACATTCAATGTACATCTCAGAAGTAGTTCTTTCAGATCTGTAGTGGGTATACCTATATTCAATTTGTTGTCTTCTATATATTTGCATATAAAACATATAGTTTCTGTCAGTGGAACGTTCGTGAATAGGGATTCTACATCCAAAGACAACATATGTTTATTCGACGCATTTATATCCTGTATACATTCAACAAATTGGAAGGTGTCCCGAAGGGAATGATTAGATAGCTGTTCCCTGACAGGTTCAATGATTTCAGCTAGCCATCCAGCTACTGAATGATAGGGCGATCCAGACATATCCAAGATAGGGCGGAGTGGAAGGGCAGCTTTGTGTATTTTCGGTAGACCGTAAAGTCTTGGTATTAAAGATCCTGTTGGTCTGATCTTTTCGTATAATTCTTCACGAATGAGATGATTGTTCTTCATTCTTTTTAAAGCCTCTGTAAGTTGTTTCTCAATTAATTCCATCTTGTTAATTATCCTCCAAATTCTCACTTCTTTTTATTTCAGGTGGCGGATTATGTTCATCAAGTTAGTAAACATAAATTTCTGGTTTCGTTTAAAGCTTTTGCACATCGATTCAAGAGGATGACGGTTGTTCATTTTGAAGAAATGAAATAAACGGGTTTAGGTGACATGAATTTATTTTAGGATTTAAATTGAACAGCGCTACAGTCAATTACTACTGACATTCCTAGTGAAATCATGGAAATATTTTATAGCACAGTAGATCTAAAATATATGTCAAAATTTAAAGGATCCTCTTTCTATGTTGATAAGATGTAGATAACCTCGGTTCTCAGAACGGCTAAATCTGACTGGTTTCACCGTCATTTGCTGAGATAAAGTCAATGAATAATGACCTCTCCACTGAGACATCCACTGAACAATCAGACATCTTTAGAGTATGCATACTAAGAGCCAATACACCAATAGAGATCGAGAATCTCAATCCGACGTATTCAGTCAATGGGGAATACAAAATAACCGAAACAATTGAAATCATGAGAATAGCAACACAATTAAATAAATACTAAATCGTTAGCAATAAATAAAAGAGGCAGTCTGGTTTATCTTATCAGTTATGATAACAACTGAAGTGTGAATTTCACATGAATTTCCTTCTTTCATGTCACACAAAATAAAAATAATGTGAGCATGAGGAAGAAATTACGCTCACACTGAGTAAAGTCAGACTCTTTCCAACAAGTTCATCACTAAATAAATGATTCACTATTTAAGTATTAGTTTGTAGGTATTTGATTGATCGGTTACAGGATTTCATTATGATCTGACATCGGTCAGAGAACCATTGGCAAACCTGCAGGGAGTACTGGATGGCTGTTTCGTCCTAGCTTGAGATTCTTCATCAGTATGCACCAGCAGCCAAGGTTTTAACCCAGGACCTTCTGGTTACAAGGCGAGCTAGCTCGTAGACCATTAAGCCACTGGGACCCGATACGACCCAATGGGCCATGAATTCCGACGTCTGCCAATTCATGACATAGCGCGACCACTAACCAATGTCTTCAATGTGCATTTGTCGTCACACCCGACCTGTAACCAATCAATCAAATCCCTAAAAACCAATCCTTTAATATCAATGAGATGCTCACTAGCCACTGATCCGATTTGGGTAGTTTGTTGCCTGGAATTCTAGTGGGTAGCCATGAACTCTAGAGTACAGTAGATCCGGCATGAGGACAAATACTCACCGAAGACATTCGCTAGTGGTCGCACCACATGGTGGATTGGCAGAAGTTGGAATTTATGAGGTGGCGATTGGATCGGGTCAGGTCTCTGCAGGTTTTCCAATGGTTCTCTAACTGAAGTCAGCTCATGATGAAATCCTGTAACCGATTCATTATTTGCCACAAAATTCCATCATAAAGTAAGATTTAGTTTCTTTGAACAGAAAGCACCTGAAATACTCAAAATTTCTGCATAAAACGTTTTTATATACATTTTTTATTGTTTCTGTGTAGTTTCCATTTTTTAGGGGAAGAAAATTTTCTGTTTTCCCTGTCATACAATTAATAACATACCAATATTGCTTTCACATAACTATTCAGGTGAAGAGGCACGAAATTTCTACTGTAAGAGTCTAATTATTATTCCAGAAATATAGATTGTGCTAAGTGCTGTTTGTCTTATAAGGGAAAGAATTCATATGAAATGATTATTTAGACTAAATCTGGGTCATTATTTTGTGAAAGTCTACGGAGAAGTGACTATGAGTTCACGAAAGGAGTCATAAGGGTTACGTTTGTAAATTATTCAATTCTAGATCAAATTGAGAGCGTAGCTTGTGATCCAGTTGGTTACTTTTCATTCTTTGCTGTCCGAGTGGAGCACAGGGCTTCAACCCTTAAAGTCTCAGTAGCGGTAGTATTTTGTTGCTCAGTGGAGTAGATTATTTAAACCTGACCTCTCATCCTCAGGCTTACTACAGGTCGACTGATTTTCAGGAATATGCCAACCATCAGTCAAACCCTGAACAAACATGTATGTCGCTAGAATTCTGCCATTGAACAACAGAAGCATTAATGTTGGTCGAACTATTTACAAGTATAGAATACGATTTTAAAATTCAGGGTTCTCAGTACCTTATACAGATACATTTTGTGTTTGTATTTGGATAGGTAATTTTGGTTGATTCTCTTTTTGTTATAAATGTCAATATTTTACCAAGTTAAAAATTCCAAGTATGAGGATATCCACACTTTTATTCTGTTTTACTCAATGCTCAATTTACTTAGTATGCTCTACGTGTCATAAGGATATTGAGAAACTTGATGACTTCATTTCAGGTGAGCATAAATGCGAGAAGTCCTGTAAGTCTAAACAGCAGCAAAAAATATGAATATTGGAGACGGCATTAAATGTAAAATTTAGATATAAGTTAAGGTCGCAAATTGTCACAGCATTCATTACGTTATACTTTGAAGTACTTCGCAACAGTCTAAAGTTAAATGAAGTGGGACTGTCATTTGCCTCATGAATATTACCAATAAACTAGTTATTTTGGATATTTTATGCAGTCACAAGTGGGAAATTTATTTGTGAAACTTATGCTACTTGTAAGACTCGTCTGTTTTAAACTTATACTTTTGTGAAGATGTGATTAATATTTTGCTGCATATTGATGTTGATGCAGAGCATGTTTTCGTGTTCACTCCACTGCTTCAAATGGTACCAAGGAATAGCTTCAGAATGTGGTTTTTATCAGACTGCTGTAGAATTGTTAAAGCCTAAATAAAATATTCTGTTTCTAACATTCATTTTGACGATAGATGTTATAACAAACCAAAACCAATGAGGAGACCACTGGAAATCGAGATACAGTTACTTTCAGCAATGATTAATGCTATGACTAAGACACTTCAAGGATAGTTCCTTATCCTCCAGTTCATGCCAAGGTTGATCATAATCTAGAACACGTGATTAAGTAGCTCATTATATATTATTGTTTCCTTTAGTTCCTAGAGAAGCATAGGGCTTCAGCCACACGTCTCCATTGCGTTCGGTTCTCTGCTAGAGTGTTCACCTGGCCCCAAGTCTGCCCACACGTTTTCATCTCCTATTCACATGACCTCCTCCAAGTCACCCTTGCACTGACGACCAACTCGCCGCTTCCCTTTCGGGTTTCACTCAAGCGATGGCCTGTCTAGTGATGTCACTTGATGGTTTCCTCAGAGTATAGCCAATCCACCTCCATTTCTTCCTGCTTATATGTTGCACAATCGGTTTATTGTCGGTTCACTCCCAGAGACTCCTCCCTGTTGCTGGTCTTTTATGGTCATCTAATCTTGAATATTGAGCGAAAACAGCTGCTGATGAAGGTTTGTAGTTTGTTTGAGATGCTGTTTATGACGTGCCAAGTCTCTGATCCGTATAGTAGCACTGTCTGACTTCACATTGGAGTTGAAAATACGGATCTTATTTTTGATGCTGAGTGCTGTTGACCTCCACACAATACAGATTAGTGAAAGCTTGTCTTGCTTTTCCGATTCTTGCTTTGATATCCTCGTTATTTCCGCCTGTAGTTGAAACAATGCTTCCCAGGAAGGTAAAGGAGTTTGTTTCTTTCAGGTTCCTTCCATTTATGCTGATCGTTGTCTCTTGTTGTTGTTGTTGCTATTGGTGTTGCCCAGGAATCTTCATTACCTCTGTTTTCTCTCTGTTTACCTGAAGTCCTACCTTTGATGCTTCTTCTGCCAACTTGTTGCTTTTCACTTGCATATCTTTCAGTTTGTGTCTGATTATGGATGAAATTAATTATTTTATAATTTTTTTAGTATTAATATACTTTATTGTAAATTTTTATAATTTGTCTGAGAATGAAGAAATGGATTTAAGTCAAGCAATGACTCAAACTCATGTAATCAAATTCAATTTATGCTTTTTATCTTAGCATCGACTTTAGTAACACTTGGTCAATGTAAGTTAAGAATTCAATTTTTATGAGTATTGATTAGACGGACGCCTGATATCTACGGTCGGCCTGCTAAATTTGGGCTTCCGATATCACATGCTGAAAATTTCATGCTTGTACCAAAATACTGTATGGAATCAAGCTATAATAAAAAAAATGTGTGTTTGAGGAATTATTTGCAATGGTATCATACTTTATAAAGAAGCACTTAGAATGTTACTTGAAGGTGGTTCTATTTAGAAATAGTCAAATTCGACTGCATATCAATAATTTAAACAATCATGTAAGATAATTTTCTGACCCACAAATACAAAAAGCTAAATTTGAATAATGTTTATAGGCCGCCCACAATGCAAAAGTGAGTTCGTATTGAATAGTGAAATATAATACTGGCCCAAAGACATCATTCTAGCTCTTTGATATTCCTTTTTAACGAACCTCATTCATATTATCACCCTACTTAACAGTAGATCATTTATTCATAATTGTTCTTTTACCTTACTAAAAAGTATCAGTAAAAATACCAAAGTCCAGGTTCATGACTTCCTGCTGATTCTCGTCTCTACTACTGCCAAACAGAGATAATGTGCCACACTGGCTGCATTTGTATGTCGCTTCACAAAGGCAGAGTAGCCTTCTTTCTGACCAGTTATTTTCCTTATGGTAAATAGTGTCTATTTTTGAGTGTGACTACTGAGTTCACTTAAGTCGAGTACCTTAATCTATTCGCAATTCATGAATATGGTCTGCTGCCAAATTTTATTCGAATTAGTTTGATCGTATCTTCAAAACACTCAGCTATTTGTATATCAATATCGATTAAAGGAAAATTGCTTCGACTGTGAATCATGCAAAAGTGCTTACAGCCAGAGCGAGTTTTAGTTGGAGATAATGTCACAGTGTAGAAACTTTCGTCTTTTTATGGGCTTAGATGCTTTTTCCTTTCTTACTATCACATTTGAGTATTCTGCGATATTTTGATAACGTTTTGATTTTAAAGAAATGATCAGCATCAAGATCACTTTCTCAAAATATTTTGTTGATAACCTTCCAAATGAGTACAGATAAGCAAGATAATTATCTCAGAACGAATTATGA